TTTCTTTTTTCCTATATGAAACTAAAGAAAGCAGAGTTGGCAAATTGACCCTTCTTTCTCAGTACAGGCTATATGAAAAGGAAGTCTTTTTCCTGTATCTTTGTTTATCTTAAAACTTCAAGTAATTTGCATAATATAAAATAAGTAATTATTATTTTGTGCTACTTCTAATCAGGGCTCTGTGTTAACTAAAATGTACTGTAAACGTCTACTGTGTAACAGTAAATCAAATTATCTTTATCCTCAGAGTATGAAGAAACAGTAATGTCGCTCTTTGACTGTGGACTGTTTGAAAACATACTGACAAATATTCATTCAGGTATGTGAAATAAGCTGTCAGATTAGTAGCACTTAGTGTGGTTTTTGGCATTCAGGTTATTCTTCTGAGGATTTTGATAACATGATCACTTAAAATTAAAATTCCAGGGAACTTTTTCTCAACATTACATAAATTACTGAGGAAAAGGCATTGATACTTGAATCTTTGGAAATACAGTTTGGTTGCCTGACACGAAGGGGGAGGTAAGTCTCAGTTCCACAGCTTTAAAGGACCAAAAGGTCTTTGCTATGAAGGACCAAAAGGTCTCAACTGCAGAGGAACTTCCCTCTCCTGCAAGGGTGTGCTCATAGCCCTTTTCTGCAGGTTCCTTCTCTTCCTGTGTGGGGAGGCTTCTCAGCAGCCTCCCTTCAGCAACTTGTTTCTGTTAAAACTTTGTTCCTTTTCTATGAACACTGTTTAGGCTGGCTACTATGTTGCTGTAAGAGCATTAAGCATTATGAGCAGAATGTAACCAGAACTGAGGTCAGCTGTAGCATGCTTTGAAAAACAAGTTGGAAATGCTTGAAGAATGAAATGAAAGCAAGTGCAAGAGCAGTCATTTGGGATCACTGGTGTAGAAGGAACCTCTGGGGCATGACTTTGGTTTCAGCTATTGCAAGCAAAAAGGCGAATACTGTTTTTCAAATAGGTAGATCTCTTGCTCACATTTCCCTCAAATAGTTGACAACCTTGTTCTAACTTCTGCTTTAATTTATTCATGGCAAAAGGGAAATTGGTGTAAATTAGCTAACATTGAGGTTCAGTGCTTTCTTGTACCTTATGTTTGCTGTTCCCCCGTTCCACCTATCCTGATGTATTTAAAGAGGACTAACAAACATATTGCCCTTTAGCCTTCACTTCACTAGACAGAACAAGCCAGGTGCCTCTCTTCAGTCTCCTGTTCTCACATTTGAATTCCTGCTTTGGGAATGGGAGTGGTGTTACAGATTACTTAGACAAGGTGCCTCATCTGAGGGCATTAATACATACCCGCTCATAATTCCTCATGTGACACAGCCTTGGATCACGCTTACTACTTTCACAGCTGCATCAATTAGTTCATCCTCTTCTCAGCTTACAGGAGAAACTCTTGATATTGGCACCTATGTGCACAGCCATGTGTTGTACCCTTTCTAATTCCCCACTACTTCAGGCACTCAGTTCTTCCTGTACTACAAAAATCTTTTTTTCTGATACCATCAGCAAACATCATACATGTACTCCAACTTTCAATTTCAAGGTCAATAATGAAAGTATGTATCAAGGTTGGTTTCAAGACTGATCCAAGAGGAGCTCTCATAATGAATTGGTCAAAGAAGAAAAGAAAAAGTAGGTTAGTTGCAAGTGAAACTGCAGGGATGGAAGTCGCTAGCTTTTTTGTCCCAATCTATCTTCCAAGCTCTTAGCAAGTAAGTCTCTGTGATGGATCAAATGTATATAAAGTCCAGAATGACTAAATACTGTGTTTTCTTTCTCCTGCAACTGGTTATTTTAAGCCATCGGACACACTTTACCTTTAACCTTTTTTTTTTTCCCCCCCACATTTTTGATCTTGCAGAACTTCTAAAGCCTTATGCAGCAGTACAGAAAGAGTACTACAAACTGTAATTGTTGAAATGGCTTTTTTTAAATCCCTTTTTTATATAGGTCTTAAACAGTGGTCCTCTACTATGCAGTTTTACTCCAAACTTGCTGTATTTAAAATATTTCATATGGGACCTGCCATTACTTCATCAATGATTTCAGAATTCTAGGTTGGAGATTCTATTCTATCCTGCAAAGGAGAAGTGACTTCCTTGTAGTTTTGCTTTCTGCTCTGTTGTCTCGCGCTCAGCTTTGTGTGACACCTAGATCATCTTCAATCTTCTTTTCACTGGTTAGCAGTCCATCTAGTAGCTTTTGAACTCCCTGCTAATATTTGTTTTCAGGGCATCTGCAGCAATGAATTCTGCAATTCAGTTAGGTCGATTTAAAAGCTACAACTTCCCTGTTTTAAATCTGCTCTGCGGTAACTTCATTGAGAGTGCCTTAGCTCTTCTCTTATGAACATGGAACAGTTGCTCACCATTCCATATTCCTTGTGCCATTTCTGCTGTTTCAGAGATATTTATCCTTTTCCTTTAGGTCACCTCTTCTTTGAGGTAAAAGGTTTCCATTCTGTTGATTTGTCTTCCTGTGGAAGCTCTCCTATATGCCAATTATTCTCGTCACTGGACTAAATCTATTTCTGCTAGATGGTTTTGGAAGAGGAACAGAACTGTGTGGTTTCCATCTGTGGTTCACCATAAGTTGAACAAAATAGCACAATGGTCATGTCTGCTCTGTTTTGTTCATTGCAAATAATTTATTTGTTGGGGTCCTACTCATACAGTCCAGCTTTTTCAGCTCCTACTCATACAGTCCAGCTTTTTCTTCAAACGCGTGCCTGAGAGTTCTTCTAACCACACGTACTTGATACCAAATAGAAATGTCATAAAGACAGCCCTTGGCAAGCAAGGGAGAAGACTCTGATTTCCATTACAGTCTTGAAGACAGTTGAGCTGGCGCTGCCAAGCAATGGGTGTAGGCTGGGACACCCATGAGATGGACTGTGAATCCTAGGTGACAGCTGACTGCATAGAAAAATAGGGAGAGAGGTTATTTGCTTTTCCAGTCAGAACTAGGGTGAGGAGTTGAATCCCTCTTTAATGAACTGATAGCCATGGTTTTCAACAATAATTCTGGCTACCAGTTTTCAGCAGGCAACCTTACTTGATAATGTATTTTAAAATTATTGTAGAAGTGTGTGCATGTATATACTCTTCCATACACACATAAAAGTGACAGCAGTAACTTCCTGGGCTTTTGGCGGGGGGAGGGAGAGAAAAGGAAAGCAGAGGCCAAAGGCTTTTCTTCATTGAAGAAATCACAGTTTAGGGTTGGTTCTGCCTCTAATTCAAAATGAACAGGGGTAAACTGGAGCTGGAGCTACCCTCTCTACTCTGTCCATTACAATTTTGGAGACCTCTTTCCATCTATTTTCTTTCCTGTTCAAGAAAGAAAAATGGATTCAGGTTTGAACAAAATACATCTGCCCCTTACTGAAAATTTAACTCTGGTATTCTCATGCATGTTGAGGAAAAACACTTGTTGTTGTTCTACCAGGTCACCAACACCTGCATTTTTCGCTACTAAACAAAGCAATTGCTTCAGTTACAACTTAAAAGTAAGAAAATACTGTTCCTTACTACTTTGGTAATGCTTTCAGATTGTAGCAAGGTACGTTACCAAACTTACTTATTGATTTCAATAGCCTTTTTAACCTCAGGCAAATGAAAGTGGTAAAGATAAGTAGAAACCCAGCTAGGCAGGGCTTTGCAAATACAATAAGGGAAAGAACTTTGTTAACCCATCAGTGTAGTGCCAGTAAGCAGCTTCACAGAAGGCAGGCAGCTATCCAACAGCAAGAACTTAGATGCACTAAGAGAGGTAAGCTGTGTTTTTGAGAATCGAGCTGCTGCATTCAGCTGTCCAACCCATTTCTTTTAGGTTTAAGCATTTTTGTTTTCAAAAGTCAGTCCATTAGGTTTCTAAACTTGCTCCAAATGTCCAATTCAAAGAAATTATCTGTAAACATTTAAAACATGTTTTTAGCAGAGGAGTCCTCATCCAAATGGATCCTGAAAATGGAACAGTTAAGTCTGTATAAAATAACATTGTGTTAGTAACAAAACTAAGTAACTTCTTATACATTTATTTTGATGGTTCAAATTAAGTCTGTAATATAGCTAGTTTTGAGATTTGGCAGTTAGCGTGATGGAAGACAAATAACAAACAACTAGCTTTACTACCTGCTGTCTTCTTTGAATACTTCAATACTCTGCTCTCCTTCATATATACCACACAGTCCATCTCTTAATGGGAGACCAAAAAGGCAAGGTGTTAGGCTAAGGACTTTGCTTCAGAAAGGTAGAAGTTTTATTACAGTTAAGTGTTGGTAACTTCTGCACCATAGTGTTAATGCATATGTAACATTATAAATTAATAATATGCTTAAGAATTTTTTTATCCCTCCCTTCTTCATCACAGGGACAGAAGAAAAAATTCAGGAACTTCTGGAAACCAGAAAAAAATTGGATAACCAGATTGAGCTACTGCAAGACATAAAAGAAGTTGCCCTCCCTGCCCAGGAGAATACTGCTAGTACATCTAGCACATTGTCTGAATAACCCTAAAGTCTTTCTGTAATGGCATCAATATTCAGAATTTTCTGAGGCTAGAAACCATAGACCACATCTGGTGAGTGTATAAGTGATTTTTTTCAAAGATAGGGACACAAGCAAAAATCAGCTGTTTCACTCTTTTATACCTCACTGTTGCAAAACTTTAAGTTGTCCCTTTATTTTTTACTGTGGATCAATGAGTGTTAGACACTTAATTTAGCTTTTTTAAAGCTGAATGAAGCCCTCCAACCAAGATGGAAATTCTTCCAAGACAAGGGAGCAACAGCTGCCACAGAAGTTTTTTTTAAAGTCACTTCAGTTGGGGCAGCCTTCTTCAGAACAGGCTGAGGGAGCTGCTTCACTCTGTACTTCTAGACAGTGTTGTTTTAAGGATCACAGTGCTGCTTTGGCTTTCCAAAGAAGATAAATTAGCAGAACTTGCACTCAAAGAAACCTTCTGAATTATGAACAGGAGTTTTGTTTTTGATTTCTTCACTGATAATGTTAAGCAAACACCTAGTTCTGCTATAACAGCAGTAGTGAAAGGGTGGTTGCAGGCAGACAGGAATGGCTGGGTACCATGCTCTGCTACCACAGACAATGTAAAATGGTATGAAATAATGGACTGTATTCTCCTTTCTCTGTTAAGAAAGGATCGACTTCCATGTGTTTTGTCTTAAAGGTTACTATATTGAAATTGTTTGAATACAGAAAAACATTCTTTAGCTACAAAAGTGTAAGTTAATAAAATAAAATGTTTTTAAGAAAGTTATGCATTTAGTAATGTTCATTACACATTTTTTTTCCAATCTTACCCTTGCCTTGAACAATAACAAGCAGAGGCAGTACCAAAATGACCTATCATCCTCTTAAATTACATCTCTTATGACAGGTTGTAGCACCATCCTGCAAAAATAGATGTGCTCCATTAGTGACTGGTGCTGTTTCATAATCTGAGCTCATTCTGTGCAGAGTCTCAAGTTGGAGATCAGTAAGCATGGATAACTGAAGTGATAAAAGGTAAATTTCAAAACAAGCCCTGCAGGTATAGAAAGATTAGTTGTGCCCTTATAGCACAAAAGGGTAGTATGTAGAGTGTACACAGGCTATTCTTTCTTATTTACAGTTCAGGCCCTGCTGGCTCCCCAGGACTAGAAATGCAACCAATTTACTCCTGCAGCCAAGGCCCCATTCAGCACTATTCTGCTTAGAAAACTCCCACCTAAAACAAAAGCAAAGCCTGTCACTGAATAAACATGGGTAATGGAGTTCTGTTATCTGGGAACAAAAAAAAGGTCCCACCCTCCCCAAATCAGACCTTTAGGCTACAGTTTGCAATCCAAAAAAAAAAAAAAACCACGCTAGATTAAAGAACATTATTGAAAACAGATTAGCCTTTTATGACACATTTGGAAGCATTTTTTTTTCCAGAAGATCCCAGAGTGAAAGCTCAGAGCCAAAGTCTTCTAGCCAAGAAATCTTGCCAAAAACCAAAAATTCTAGGCTCTTCAAAACTTAGCAAAGGTGACAGCATCATAACCCAAAGAAGAGTAGAGCTACAGTTAAAAGTTTGAGAGATTTAAGTTAGTTAAGTTTTCTTTAAACTGTTCTACCCTGTGGTTAGTGATGAACACCTTGAAGTGCACAACCACCTTAGTGTTTCAAAAAAAAAAACACACCTATCAATCAGCTTATTCATTAGAAAGAAACCAGATCCAGAGAATACAATCACTGAAGAGGAAGTCAGTTCCTAGAAATCAATCCTTGTTTGCTTCCTGAAACTGGTATTTGTCAAGCACAGTGAGACTTTTTTTTTTTTTAAATCAATACAAAAAGCTTGAGATTTTCTTCCAAGTCAGAAGAAGTTTGCTAGTGGATGAGTAAAAAACTGAATTTTATTATACATAATTTAAGTTTATACAATACTCCAATGGTTGGTGGGGGGGGGGGAGGGGGAAGGGAAACAGAACTTCAAAAACAGTATAGCCCTTCCCCTCTAGGGGAAGCAATTTAATCTGATATCACCAGAGGTAAATCTTTCATTAACCTTTAAAAATATTGCTTGTACAGTTCACACAAAGTACATATTACAACTTATATTAAGGTATACCCAAATATAGAGCTTTATTTCCAATTATTAGATCTGTTAGTTACCCCTTTCTTCAAAGTTACTTACCTAGGCTTTGAGGATACTTTATTTCTGTACACTTTTCTAAGTACTGAAATACACTTGGTTAATTACACACAGCAAATGGCAAATTTATTCACAATCATGCAACCGCAATAAAAGATATCCATGCCATTTGCTTTGTCATAATCCCATGGAGTTAATGTTTCAAGTGACATCATTCAGTGGCTCAGGTGAGAGACTGTTCTCTAACCCCAAAAGGCCAGTACCCCAAGTACTGCATTTAAAATATTAACAGATGGTGCTCGAATTGAGACATCCTAGCCTGAAAAATAAGTCCTTAACACCACTTGGTATCTTTTGCATGCTGCAATTTTTCTCTCTCCATTTGAAGTCCTGAGCTGTTCCAACATCCTCAGTTGCTAAATGCAACTGAGTATTTTGGTTGATATTTACTCAACAGTTCATTCTTCTGGAACACAGAAAACATTTGGTTTTTGTTTTGTGTTTTTTTTTTTTTTTTTAAATACAGGCTTTCACATCTTCTGATAAAAGAGACCAGGTTATGTGGGTTTATCTGTACACTTTTGCCAGCCTGTTATACCATGCCATCTGCAAAAAAACCTTGCAATCACCGAAAACTTACAGCCTCTTGTTTCAGTTCTTAAAGGCTCCACATTTACTGGCTTTAGCAATGAATTCCTTTAGCAGAGGACCATCCATTTGCCAAAACGCTGCAGTTTGTGTCACTTCCGTCAAATGGTTGACACAAAACTTAAAGCAGAATTCTTCTAAATCCTAAACGGGGCGGGGGGGGGGGGGGGGGGAGAAGAAAAAAAAACAAGAAAAGGCTTTATTACCTTCACTTCCATCACAGAGAATTACATTCAGAGCCAGACACAAATGTCTTTATATGCTTTACTTTTAGTGCCATTAACAGCAGAGGCCTAGCCAAATATATTAATCAGGTGGCTCTCAGCCTTTTTCCACAGTGTGACTGTGCAAATGCAATAGAAAAGAATAATTCTACCCACATAACATGGCTGCAAAGAATGAATAACCATAATTTGGTTCCCACTGTATAGCTGCAGTCACATATATTGCTCAAAATAATATTGTGTTTTTATTTTAAAGGTTTTACCATTTAAAGGGTTTATAGGTTAGATGGGTTTAGCTATAGCATCCAGAAGAGTTTCATCTACATTCACTGACAGCTATTAAGATCTCCTGTTTGTATTGGGTTTAAGGCAACAAAATTTAACCAGCACTGTGGACTAAGAAAATTCAGCTCTGTCATTTCATATTATAATCTCAGTGTATGCATAGGCTGCTTCACTTCCTACTTCATTAATGGCTTAGTTAATCCTTTGAAGTTGCATGCCACTGGGTTCAGTGCAAATGTATACTAACTGGTATTTTTAAAGCAAACCTTAGACAAAAGGCCTTTCCGTGTATTACAAATAGACCCAGGTTAAAAAATATATATATTCCACAGATGTCCCAAAAAATACTGTGGTGTAATACACCAAAGCAATTCTTGCAGAAAACGTTCTGGATATTTCAGAATACTCGGAAAGGCCTCCTATTTAAGGATTAAAAAAACATGAGAAAATCATCATTGCACCCACATGATGTCAGAGAGAAAGACTGTCTAAAAAACAAAAGCCAGTGGTTGTCAATATAACATTGACCACAGAATTGCTTCCCATTCAGATTATTTGTTTCTAACTCCTCTTTTGAAGAGGAAATTTATTCTTTGTGGCACAGCACTAAACTGCTATAAGAGGGATGCTGCAGCCCTTAGAAAATAGCAACTCTCTCCCCACCCTGCTCTAATTTCTTTAATACTTTATAAATCTATAGTACTAGTACTTTATACACGAGAACAGACCCTTCCTTAGCTGCTCAGCAGACTGGGTGCTGCAGTAAGGCAAAACAGATTTGCAGAGCTCTTTAAGCCATCTGAAGTATGAAAGGCTGATTAGTAGTCATATTTTCACTTAAGGTCAACATTGAATGCTAGCTCAGCCGTGTGCCAGTGAGTTCTCGACACAATAGTAATATAAAAATATTTCCTGGCCTAAAACCAGGCTTTCTGAAGCTGCAGGTCTTGGCTTGTGTGGCATCTGTGCAATGAAAAAAGACAAGCTTATTAGAACTGAACACTGAGGGTTTTTTCTTTTTTAAGTAATAGAATGGACTAACAATTTAAATAAAATTACATCATACACATTGCAATATTTTACACTTTTATTAAAAAATTATACTCCAAGTCAATGCAACAGAAGCATACAAACAGTAATACTGTGTTATTAGTAAGAAACTTGGGAAAGTTTGAAGTTTTTTAGAGGAAAAAAAGCTGAATTTCATTTGCAGGTGGATGCACTTCAAGTAAACTTTACTTAATATAGAATTAAGTGATAAAGGTACAAAGTACTTCCAATGATTATTAAAAGTCACAGCGATAAGCCAGACCTGAATTAATGCTACGCCTTTCAATTCAGTTAGTCAGTCACCAAAATGAAGTATATCAGAGTTTCACGTCATGGAGGTAAACTTTAAAATTAGTGAGGCAGCTTCTTTCAACTGTTGTCTTTCAGGCAGTCCCATGAACTAACTACATCATCTAAGCAATTTCAAACCCTGATCTAACTTTACTGCACGTATAATCTGTTTACCAAAAGCAGTCCCTCAGTGCCACCCATTTTCTCCCTAATTTAGCATCTAAACCTACCATTAGGTAAACTTCTAACTTTACTTAGCTAGTAAGGTATGGCCAAAGCACAGTAACTGGATTTATTCTACTCTTTACAAGCAGAACCAGTCACACACTAAAGACTAATTCTGCAAATAATCTTTTAAGCTAAAATTTGTAAGACCTTCATATTTTCTATGAATTCCCATCAAAGAAAGCATTATTCACAATGAATTGTGACGTCACAATTCAGATACCAATACAGTCATTCAGATAAGGTATAATCAAACAAGCAACACGCTGCAAGGCTCAGAAATAAGGTAGTTGCATGCATATTGCTAGTTATTAAGTACAAGAAAAAGCAATGAGATGATCTACTGACTACCAAACACCTTTAATAAGCATAAACAGCAAGGCTGAAAACTAGTCAATCGTGAAGTTGCAAACATGACATGCAGGTAACTATTCTGAACACAAAGAGACAAAGGAAGCCCAGATCCATCCATAAAGTAGCATATTAGTGATCTGGTAATGAAATCAGACATTGTAAAATGGGAGAATTCCACTAGCCCTCCCCTCTTCACACTCTCTTTCTCGGTCTTTAAAGTTTATTAGGCCCATAAGACAGTTCTTATCCTGCCATTTGATTAGCGTACTTGAAATGCAAAGACTGAAAGTGTATCTGACTGTAGATAAACTCAGTTCACAACACCACACGCACTAAAACCAGAAATAATCCAAGCCAAAATACCCAAGCCCACCTCCATACCACACCTCAAAACCCATAACTTTACAAAATGAATTAAGGCTTACAAGAACTGCTTTTCATAATATGATAGTTTTCCTTTGTTTTTAAAAAACTACCCTCGTTTATGTTTTTATTCTCAATTTTTTTGGTCATACTTTTTTCCATATAAATAGAAATTCATGAAGCTTGGCCTAGTGTCATAATCTTTTACCATGAATTAAGCAATGCAAACATTTATAAATCCTGAGTCTCAGGCTGGGACTTAAGTCATCTTTAGATATCTATGTACTAGTTCACCTTCCCAGTACTGGTTTATAAAACATACAGCTTTCCATCCAAATATAGTTTATGCAAGTCCAATGGCAACATTCTCAAATTCTGAGAATAGTAAATAGTATTCTCTGGCACTAAGTCGGAGAAAACGTATAAAACTGGCTGCTTTTCTCCACAGTTTAGGTCAGAAAGCAGCCACCTAATTAGAGATTGAACTTTAGAAGTTTACCTCTGCATCGTATCTGACAGCAGCAGAGAGCAATGAAAATGCATTTTCCACAGTGATTCCTCTCTTGATAATGTGTTGACATAGTTTTTTCAGTCTATTTTCACAATAAGAAGTAGCCAAATCCAAAAGCCCTGCAATCAGAACGCCATTATATTAACCACTTGTAATTATCACTGCTTTTCAGCAACAGCATATGCTCCTGGGGTAGAGGTTGCATCTTTATTCTGTATGTTATGTATGTTCTGTATGTCCATAACATGCTATATGCATGTGGGTCACTATTGAGAAAAAACACGTTTTTACCATTATACAGGAAGAAAGGCCTTTTATTACCTCATGCTGCAATCCTGTTAATCTCTGTAAACATACAAGCTTTTCCACTGATTTGTGCACCTGACTGCTTGTGAGAGTGGAACTGTTGCAAAACAGGCACCATAACACAAGTGAAAAAGCCACCACTATAATAAAATACAAAAAAAAAAAAATCTATCCTTGAATTACAGCTTGTTCTTTGCTCCGCTGCCCAAGTTTCACCTATTACATCTACTGAGATTTTTCTTATTTTGTCCTAACCAGTAACTGATTCATTCTAGTAAAATACACAGATACTTTAATCAAGAGAAATATAGTTTCTCCTCCATCTTTTATATAAAAATAAGCTATTAGTTTATTCATGTTCCATTTTTGTTGTAGAAAATTTGCTACAGCAGTATTTCTAAAGTTTCATTAATCCCCAGTAAATATATTATAAACTGGACTAGAATCACAGAATCGTTTAGGTTGGAAGGGACCTCTGGAGATCATCTAGTCCAACCCCCCTGCTCAAGCAGGGACCTCTAGAGCACGTTGCCCAGGATCACATCCAGACGGGTTTTGAATATCTCCAGGGAAGGAGACTCCACAGCCTCTCTGGGCAACCTGCTCCAGTGCTCTGTCACCCTCACAGTGAAGAAGTTAAAGAATTCTACATATAATATATAAGTCTACGTATATTATATGTTAAATAAGTCTACATTTATTCTGTATCCCTTTTCTCAGTTGCTCTGGATCCTGCTTTATAAAATAATTTGACCAAAAGCAATACCTATAGCATCTTCAGGTGGAAGGTCAACACTGTCTGTATACAAGTATTCAAGAAAGGCACGATACACAGGATAAGAAAACTGGTCTATTTCTATCACTTCCTTCATGTCCTCATTCCAGTATGACTGGAACATGGTTCTGAAGTGTTCACACCTAAAAGACAAAGACATCACCTGGAACACTTTTGGTTTTTTTAGTGTGTGTGTCTGTCTGTGTGTCTGTCCCCATATGAATGTTACATATTTTAGAGAGACTGTAATATATTTGTTGCGCGCTCTCTGCAGCACTCATTAACATTTTATCTTACCCCATCACAATTAATGATCCACATTTTGGTTCCTACTATTGTATATATTGTTACACTTGCGCATCAGGATGAAAATCTTACATGATCTATGCTACCGAAACATCTGTGCATATATTGCAATCAAACTAACTTAACAGAATTTATTATTTTGGGAACAGTGAATAGGCTTAGTGAAATTTGGATACGGACCATTTTAAAAGAGAGTTTAGATCTCCCTTCCTTTTTTCCCCTCCCCCCTAGATGTGATGCGAACAAGTACTTTGTTATGAACAAGAGTCACAAAAGATGAACACTACCTGATCTTCAGAACAGCTTTGTGAACATGGATGTACTTTCCATCCACACGGAACTTTAGATCTGAGGTTTCTGGGCTGTCAAACTCTTTCTTCAGAGACTCTGCTACTGTTAGAAAGTCTTCATGCTCTAAAAAAAGAATTTTAAGACCAAAGAACACGTTAGACATCTTAAACGGAACACTTGCATCACTGCAGTTAAAGTTAACTGGTCAGTTAACAGCATGCAAAGTAAACAAGCCAATGGAGCTCTGATACTGACCTAAGGGGTCAAACCACAAAAATGAATTAGTCCATTCTCCTTTTCTTGTGGCAAGGGCTACTCCACAGCAGCTACAAACCACAGTGGCCAGCAGTCCCAGGGCCAGCTTATTACTCAGAGGCAGTACAGCATCAAGGACACTCCCTGGGGAACTTCCTTCCTTACTCTCCACCTGGGGACCACCCACACTACTGCCAGCCTCCTGGCAGCTTCACTGTAGAGTTGGGCCAGCAGCTGGTCTCCACAGAGAAGCTACAGCAAGCCTGCAAACTGCTGGTAACAGGACTCTACAACATCACCTACAACCCACCTGACATACAGTATACAGTGCTTCGGTCATGTTAGCATGACCGTAAAGAATAAGAAAACATGTCACCCACTGGCCACTTTTTTGCATTGTCTGGTAGGTTATAGCCTGCAGGTTGTCCGTTAACATCTTTGCTGGGCTGACATAACAGCATCAGTGATATTTCATGTTAATCCAATTTATCAGGCAATTACAACAGCACAAAACCCAACAGCAGTACTGCAAGAAGACAGATCATACCAAGAACATAGTATCTACTACCAAGGACACAATAGTTCAGTAATTTTGGAAATGACTGAAGTTGGGGTCTCACAGCCCTTTGACAGTTCTTAAAAAGGCCTAGAATACAGGTCCCATAGTGGTTCCATCATCCGTCTCTAGAAATCATAGAAGAGTTTCAGCACAAGCCGGCCAAGACTTGTGGTAAAGCAAGAACTACAGAGTTCTAGGAAACCTAGCTTTAACCCAGTATTTGAAGTTCCTGTTGATATATCTCACAAGTACGTTTTAACACACGTGGCTTCTAAGAAGCAAATATTTTCTTTAAAAAAAGTTTTCTACTATAAGGGGAGGTGCGCTGTCTTCTGTGTCCCATAGGACTGCATGTTATTCATCCACGTATGTTCAAATTACTCTTCATCCTTAGAGACAGCTAAATACATTGGTATTACATAAAACACTTCTGCTATAATAAGCTGCTGTAAAAGACAAGTTACATTTATGCCCCACAAGACCATGAACTCCTTTGTTTTTGCTCTGATTTACATGGATCATGAGAGGAATCTGCATCTCACCAGGGCTAACTAGACCATGCTCTAATCCCCTCTGCACTTGTTCACGTGACTTTTTTCTGTGTCATCAGCCTAACTTAAGCTACACTGTAGATCAACTTTCACTCCAAATACCCTTTCCACACAAAGGCTGCAGATTTGAACTTTGCCACAGACGATCTTGAGTGACTGATCTTAGTTTTGGCAGAGCCATCGTAACCGGAAATAAAATAATAACCATCATGTAGAGTTAGCTCTCACTAAGAAAAAAATTTTAAAATGTACTTTTTAATCTATATAAATAACAAGGTGAAGAGGTGAAAAAACATATATGCAGAATGGAGATTAAAAATGCCTCAAGAATTAATGCTTTTGATTTAAATATTTGGTAGTAGGATTATCAGAATAAGAGAAGAATAATTTCCATTAGCCTTTGGGGATTAAAATACACAAATAAAATTCAAACAACTTGTTATACTCAGACTGGGAATACTTCATGAAACTGAGAACTTTTTAAGTTACTGAAACAGGGGAGATGCATTTTGCTAATGGTGGAGGCTGTTTAAAGACAAGAGACTTGGACAAACGCCAGACCTCTACAGAGGAAAGACTAGCACATATCGCAAAAGAAAGAATGATTAGAGAATGAAGAAAGTGGGAAGTGGGATAAAACAAGACTTGGATTTACCCAGAGACAGATCATTCCAAGCTAATCTTCTCTCTCTCTCGGGTAAAATTGATCAATTTTCTTCTATAGACAAGATGCTGTTATTTGGACTTCTATAAATGTGATAACAAGCTAAATGAAAAGTTAAGATGGAGAAGCCAGGTTAGGACAGGAATGTTTAGACAGCTACAGGACTGTCTGAGATAAAAAACAAGCCACGCACAAGGTAAAGTCTGAGACTGAAGGAAGGTTACAGAGGATCTGATGCCTCCACAAAACCAATTTCATACAGAAACAAAATTAGGATCTCTTGTCAATATGAAAGCAGTTTAGACCTCCTAGATGATCTTGAGGACTGAAATGGCAGATCTAAGATGAAGTCCAATAAGCATGAACTGCAGGCTAAGTAAATTCATAGTATATTTGGGGTCAAATAAGAGTTGGCAGCATATCACTTGAAGATAACCAAGACGACAGACTTGGGTGCTTATGTTGGTCACAGTGACTACATCCCCAAATTTAATCTAAGGTTGTACAAGAAAACAGAGAAAACACCGCAGAAAACAATGATATTATGGCCTTGTTACACAGGAAGTATTATTTGCACACCTGCCTGCCTTTGAAGATAATCAATTCAATTGAAACTAAATCAGGTTGAGCAATACCACCTCACAATAAGGAAACTAGGAATTCTACTATTTTACCTTCCTAACATGAAACATAAGAGAGAGATCTGCCCCTTCCTATTTATACTGGAAGGGTAAATACTGGGGAGAGGAAGAGACAACACTTGCAATTAGAATGTGCTAAATATCAAAGTAACAAGAGGCAGAAGCACTCCTCCAAACAGGAACAAATAGTTTTAGGAGCAAAAAGCTATGTTTAATAATCCAGGAGTCCTTCCCAGTCCTGAGCTGGGGCTCAAACAATACAAATTGTAGGAAACACATAATATTCAGAGTGCAGCACAAAACAGGATTCTCCCTAGACATTTACTGGCAAACAAACAATCTTGCTAACCCTGTACTGGATCCTCAGCTGCTGAGGGAAAATGTTTTCTTCAGGAAACACCTGAGGTTTAGAGCGCTAAGAAAGAACATTTATTAGCTAGAAGAGCTAGTCTAAATTGCCTGTTCTCCTTAAATCAAGGGCTGGTCTCCCACAAAAGTGGCATACAGTGCTAATCTGTCACAAACATACATAGCAACTATAACATAGAAGCATATTTTATATGAATATTTACATTTAAGTTATTTGGCTCATATAGCCCTGCTCGGCATATCTGAGTTCTCACCTACTGATAGAAGACGCCACATAACAGCAGGGGTAGCAAAGCAAGCAAACACATCGTCAGTGCAGGCAAAGTGAGTGAGGTGGGGAAAGATCACAGACTGGCCTCGGCACTGGCCCCACATGTACACCTGGCCACTCTGGGTCTTGGCAGCCGAAGTGTGAGCAGAGTGGCAGGCTGCAATCTCCACAACCCTGCAACAGAAAGAGACACTTGTAAGATACTTACAGGTATAGAACTAGTGACCTTCCAAACGTCTCACCAAAATAAGAAAACAACCAGCCAAACTACGTATCTGTACTCCTGCACTTTTTTCTTTGTTTTGCATGAACGTGATTCTGTTTTAACGGATCAATATAAGAACTGCAACAACATAATCAAAGCAGTATCTGACTACAATCTATCAGAAGTCTTTGAAAATGTACTTTTCAGTTGACATGCTCATTTTCTTCCCCAAATACGAAAAAGGGATGAAGAAAAAAAAAATGTATTTTTTTCTTTAAAGTCAATAAACATAAGATACATTTCAGGGATGGATGCTTATACAGCTTACAGAACTTCCAGTTAGGGAACAGTCTGGAAAGTTCTACTGCTTTGATTTTGTAGAGCATTTTCCAGAACTTCTTTCAGGCAGATGTTACAAAAATTCTCGCATCTCAAGACTGAAGGGTTTGCTGAAAAATACATAGGATCTTAAAAAAAAAAAAAAAAAACACACACCACACACACACACTTCTATCCCCTCCTTTAATCTGTTTTTGCATATAGAGATCTGACCTAGCTCCTGCCTTTTCGACATCATATTTTGCTTTTCATTTCCTTTCCTCAATCCAGAAACCCAGTTTGGAACATTGTTCTGTTATGAATAGTGCTTTATATGAGGTGAGGTGAATGTCCACACTTCACACTCCATTCTTGAAGAGCTATGGCTGTTCTTTAAATAAAGCCTACATAATATTTTCAACCTCCTCAAACAACTTCTTAAAATACTACAGCTGCTGACATACACTTATCTATTTTGTTCTCCCATTGCTCTCGCTATCCTGACCCTGTTATTTGAAGTAGGACAGGAACCGAGAAGAATCACACTTCCATTAGAAGGATTGTAAGGACATTTCCAGTGTCTCTGTTTAGATGAGCAAAAATTCAGGGAAGTTCCACACTTGATTCAAAATAAAATCGCTGCTTTCCTGATTGCCAACCCCCTTGCTAAAGGCATCAGAGGACTTCATGCTTCTGTGCTTTCAATGTATTTATTTAAAGAAAAACTAACCTGATTAGCCGGGACAAATAAACATCTTTTCAAAGAATATAAACGTACACCATCAAAATGTTTCATCACTTACAGAAAAAGCTAACTTTCCATGCATATTGTTAGGCAAAACAGAGCTCAGATTTTAAGTTCAAAAATTCTTTCAGTGAAAAACACTAGAAAAAGCACACTTCCAGCATCTGGATTGATGATTTCTAGCAAATTAAAACTTAATGGAATGTATTACAGCAGCAGCAGCTTATGAAGCTCTACGCAACACTGAGATCCTTCAGCAGACATGCCCATGTCTCTCATGAGACATCATAAAGTAATCATTTTAGGGTTTTTCCTGCTAGAGCTAGTCTCCAGATATCAAATTACTCTCAACTACTATTACAGCCCCAACAGCTGCCCTTCCTTAACTCATACTTAAATTGCAGAACGTCTAGTCCCCACAAGTCAAAAAAAATACTGTTTCTGCCTTTATTTGCTCAAAAGCAACTGTTTCATACTTTGCTTCTGCTAATACTGTAACAACTTACTTTCCATCACGGCTATCCTGCAGTCTCTAAAGTTTTCCTCCCCTAAACTGCCTTTCCTTATCAGAATAGATCCTTCTTTTTAGGATATCTATACCATATTTAGGCAAAATTCTGGAACCTTACCTTCGTAATTGTACCTCCAAACTAACATAAGACAAGGTCTGAAAGTCCTTATAAGCTGTATATGCAAAATTCTTCAAGACTGCAACAAATGCCACCTCACAAGGAACCTTCAGCAGCATTACATATAAATGACAAATTATGTAAATGAAAAGAGCAGCAAGAGAAGCATTAACACGTTTCACGGGCAATGACAGCTCACCCACTTATAGCACCGATTCCAAGGGAACCAAGTCAAGCAAGATGAGTAAGTTTAAGTGATGCATCTCTCCTTTAGATTCCAAGCAGAAGTTCTATGATATTTTCTCCCTCCTCCTCTAGCCACTGAACAAATGCCAGTTTTATCATAATCCCTCACTTGAGTTCATGTACACTTGTATATATAAAGTTCCCTTAACTGACTTGAAAAATAAATTGCTAAGAAAATAAAGTTGGTCTATTGCAAGCATATGCATTTCCCTTCCAATGCCTTAAAAAAGTAAAATTAAAAAAAAAAATCATTTTGCCTCTCTAGTGCTAGTTTCTTCACAGACAAGCCAGCCTCAACTTAGTGGTTTCTATTATGCTAGTTCCTTTCTTCTTCCCCCTACCCCCCAACTTTTTAAAAGTCCTTTAAGGAAACTCAGCACTGTGCAGCTTTTTCATTTCTACATTAAGCATTAATAAACAGGAATGGCTTCCCTGAAAGACAGTTTAGAGCTATAAAATGATAGCTTTTATACCCCAATGGAACAGGAAATGGAGGAGGAAATCCCTCCCCCGCCCGCCCCACCCACCACCAAGCATTTCCTATGTAAGAGAAGATAACAAGTTAAAAGAGTTACAGGTTAAGAGGTTTCCAAAGTGAGGTATATTAATCTATAGGTGTGCACATAGCTCTGGAGAATGGGACTAAGATCTCCAAGATTGTAGGTAAACACTGGAAGAGTCATAGGATTTAGGTCCCAAATATTATGACAAGAAGGGCGCTGAAAGATACTGAATGAGAGTTAGGGTCAATCTTTCATGGGTTTGTGAAACTAAGACTATAGGCATGTTATTTAAGAAACTATGACCTGATGCCACCAGCAAGAGTGGTAACATCTGTCCTTAGCTCCAGCAACCTTGAAAATCAAGTCTTGTTTACACTGGTGGCTACCTACCAGACAACATCTCAGAAAGCTGATTTTTCCTCATGTGCCACTCCTTACAAAAGAGGTGCTTTTTGTAGGGCAGGTTTTTTTGTGTGTTTCGTTTTGTTTTTTTAATGTAGGCCTCACTATATCTTAAAAGCTTGGTATGTCAACTCCATAGTGCCGCATTTTTTACAAAAGGAATCACATTTAGAATAGCCTAACACTTAGCCATTCACTGTCTTTCAGTGTCAGGCAAATATAAAATACATTTACTTTCAATAGTCATTACAGATAGCAAAAAAAAAAAAAAAAAATCACTCGCTTTGAAGTAAAAAGTAGCATATCATCCTTCCCTAGGCTTTTAACAGCAGCAATAACACCACAATCCACCAGGCCAAACATGCATGCTTCCAGTGCTAAGGAGTACATAACATATGCTCAGATAAGTCAATCTCAGGAAAAGCTTCAGCAAGATTACCTTTCTTTTTCCATCATGATCTGCACCGGGCTTAGCTGGTTACTTTTATTGCCAGTTCCCAGCTGCCCATAAGTGTTAGCTCCCCAGGCATAGAGCAAACCCTCATCTGTTAGTGCTAGTGTGTGCGCATAGCCAGAGGCAATCTGTAAGTAAATTTATAAGCATTACTACTAAACAAACAAACAAACAAGAAAGATGAAAGACAAAATTACTGCACACATTTCCTTAGTCTGGCTGGTGTCAAATACCACAGGCACTCCGTTTAGCACAAGAAAATGTTTTTTTTCCCCTCAGTACTTAGAGCTAACACAGAACACATTAGCAGTAAGTACTGGAAAACTCCAAACTGCATTAATTTAGGGTATATTGATTACTCCTTCCAAACCATTTGCTACATAGTCTAAACATATGGAAGATCTAACAACAGTCTTTTTCTACAAGAACTAATCATTTCCTGTTTTGCTTCTTTAATTTAGTTGTATTCTATAGAAGCCCCTTTAGAGTCTCCCTAGCCTCTGCTTGCTTTCAACTGCAGACTCTTCAGAGAATGTGAACTTCATCATATCTTGCAACTCCAAAACACGTGGGGAATTCGATATTTAGAATACCATACAAACTATGATAGCTGAAGTTCCAAAGCCAATGACCCCTTCAGCTTTTTCTAAAAATGAAGAAACTCACTATGTGTTAATTAACTGTTCATCTTGAGTTACAAAAAGGAAACTTCATAGTAGCTTGGTAAACATCCAGACGATTGTTGTGTTTGTGGGGGGGGGGGGGGGGAAGGGGGGGAAAAATACCACTCTCTTACCTCCCACTCTCCCCTCACATCTCGGGGGATGACTTGAACAATGCAGAAACTAATCTGAAAAATTTCTGTTCGCATTGATTCCTCCTATTTACTTCGTGTATCTCACTCATTCAGTGGTAACAAAGATGTTATTAGTACAAACTGCATAGTTTATAGTTAGACTAGCCATCTTTAAAGCATTCAGAAGACTTACAATAGCAACTATTTTGCAGCTTACTTGCACTTTTTTTTTTTTAATTAACCTAATATAAATTATAGGAGCCAAATGAATTCAATCTTGTAATTGAAATCTAGAAGTATGTGTAAGATTCCTAATACACAGTTTTAGCAGATGCTGGAAACATGAATGCATTTTTATTTCTAAGTTAGACATACCTGGAGAACGCACACACCATGTAATGCTGCCACTCTGCATGGTGTTAGTTGATTGCCATTGTTTCCAAGACCTAGCTGACCATTACCATTGTAACCCCAGCCATAAACCTGATTTAAAAAGCAAAACAATATTAAGCTATCCCTTTGCAGAAATACAGGCTCTTTAAGACATGGGCACAGTCCAAAAAGTACATATTATTAAAAAGAAAAAAAGAACGCTACTTCAAGAGGAACAGAGAGGGCTAAAAAGATACATACAGTCAATCATTGTAGTAGATTAACTTTTCCATCCTGCATTTACCTGCTAAAGAAGCTTTCTGAAACGTTTGTCTTTGAAGTACCAACTTAAAATACACCACAGTCTATCTTATAGCATCAACTTTTTTTTTTTCCCCCTCCCTATCACTTTTTCCTTTTTAAAGGAAACAAAATCTGTATTTCTGGTCAGCTGATCACCTATCGAATTAATTTAAACTGACGTCTCCAGCTTAACTCTTTAGAATTTTTCCTTCAGTCTTGTTAGGGTGGGCCCAACAAGAGGAAGGTACATATAGTGAGAGCTCATCTGCACCTCAGGATGACTAAGTATTTTCACAGTGTCTCCAGTCATGAGGAAATGCTATGTTCTGAGTTTGCTGAAATGTAGTAAAAGTGAGGTTACAGTTCTTACCTAGAGGTAAGATAGCATTATAAATGTCTCACATAAAATGAAACGGTTAAACACCACCAGAGCAACTTTCAAAAGATGGCTTTGTTTTTCTTGTCAGCAGTTAAGTAGTGCGTTGAAGAACCAGGATCATTCAGTGTATACTTGTAGAAAGATTAACTATTTAATTTTGCATGCAAAAGTCTAACTAAAACACATGTTAAACAATCTATTGAACTAATATTAAGCATGTATTTCTTTATAACAGTTCAAATACTTGCAGCTGCAGTCTCAGGAAAAAAAAAAAATCAAGTTCTAATACAGTCTCTGCAGTAAGAAGGAATACTTTCTTTAAAGAAGTTTAAAGAAGGCAACTCCAGCTAACTACAGAGTTCTCCTTAAGTCAGTCCTATAGCAGTTATCAATACATACTCTATAACTTGAACCCTCTCTGTATTCAGCATTTTTCCGTGTTCAGACATTAAACTTAAGTTTGCACAACAGAGAAAGAACAGGAGAATTCAGGAATGCTTACCTCACCATTGTTTACTACAGCCATGGAGGACGTCTGACCACAAGCAATGCCAACTACCATTTTACCCTGTAAACAGTTTGAAACTCTACGAGGAGTTGGCTGGTTTGCTGTAGATCCAGATCCAACTTGACCACAGTTGTTATAGCCCCAAGCATATAGCTGTCCAGTAAAAAAAAAAAAAAAAAAAAAAGCAAGATAACTGCAGTTTAAGCCTTCATAATAGTAATAATAAAAATTTCAGAACATGCTGTTAGTATCAGACTGGGTAAGCTACTTAAGTAGCTAAAACGTTTATAACTAATTTTAAACAACTAAAACAGCAATAGGTCTGACCTAGCAAATAAGAACATAGCATTTTTTCAGCTTCTTTCTATAGAACTGGAACATCTGACTACAGTCAACACATGCAATATATTTCCATATTAAACAGAAGCCTGAAAGTAAGACACCGAGCTTAGCGAGTAGACTTTCTTTATCCTTTCACGATGTTGCAAAAGGAAAGCAAGCAAAAGTGTTGTTTTGCAGACTTGCTGAACTTCCCATTTTGAAATTAGAAGTCTCAGAAGAGAATCGAGCAAACCAGCTTATAGCTGGACAATCACTGTACCTCCTTTCACATCTCTGAAGAACTGTGAAAAGGGATGTTTGTCAGCCACGTTTCACAGTAACAAAACTTGGAAGTATCAGAGATGGTGCTTTTTATTAATTTCATCATATAACAAAGTTTGTCAGTGACAAACAGCTAATAATAAAAACAGAAAAAATATTGGTTGCCTTCATCTAAAGCCCAAAAGAGAGGCAAATGCTTTGCTGTAAGAAGCGTATATAGCCTTTGGATTTTCAGTTCCTTTAATGTTTCCATTTCATACACATACCCATAGCTTAGCATAAAACTATCTCTTATAATTCATTCTGTGATGCTTCACCCAGTTAAAAGTTCATCCTCTTAAAATATCAGGCCACAGCCAGCCAGCCCCCTCACTGAAGTGGCACCAACACTCATTCAAACCAATCTGATTACCTTTACGTAAAGTTTAAATACCCTTTAGTGCCAGAAGCAGCCCATTTACTGTGATACCTAACTAAAAGTCACACACACACACACAAAAAAAAAAAAAGACTGCCTTATGTGCCAGGTCCAATACAAAAAGAAAGCATTAATCCTTTGCTCCATTACTATTTATTTCCATGTATAAAATACCTTTATTTCAATAATAAAGAAAATATTAAGGAAGAGTAACTCAGAAGGTAGGTCAAAATGTCAAAGAGCTAATCAGTTTCCTCTTTCAGGAGAGTATGAATGTCTGCAGTTCTGTGGATTTTAAAGTTCCTGTGGACATGAGCTCCATTATTATGGGCAAACACTTCGATCTCTTCTAGTCCTTTCCTCAAATCAGTACCGAGTGGAAATGAAGATAATGTTTCCTTCCTTTAAGTCCACCATTAGGATACTCCTTTTATTTGCACTGTATTAAACATCCACTCAAGCAACTGCACAAATGAATTATGCCAAGTATTTCTATGAACACTTTCAACTTCAATGCCCTTCTGAAACTCCAGTTATATTAAGTCACATGGCTTTCTCCAGCAAAATATTTCTGTAAGTAAAATGCCATCTAACACATGTGACTGCTTGCAGTATGATCAGTTATTTCTGGTACCGATAAAAACCTCAGAGCACAACTAGATTGAGTTACTGCAATGCATGCTAAGGTGTGGATTTACAGTACGTTAATTAACTACAGTTACTAGCCAGCTGCAAATACCAACTCCACAGGAAATAAAGAAGTTTGCCCATTTCCATCGAGTTTTCGAGTGCATTGCATTTATTACAGAAAGACAGCACATCCACTGCAAGCAACTACCACACAATACCTGACACCATTAATGAAATTCATATATGAACACCCTTGCTTTCCTACATGCAAAGTAAATTTTATAGTTTATCTCAGGCAAAACTGAAAGCATACCAAACCTTCCTAAGTTTAGTCTCCTTTCAGAGATACCTAGACCACTTAAATTAATCCAGTCCTCCTTTCTCCCTTCATAACAGTATGAGTCCATATAGAACCGTAATAGGAACGCGCACAGACACCGTGGTCACAAGAAAGGAAAGAGTTGTAGCTTCCATTTCCATCTTTAGGAAGGCTTCGAATCAGAACCTCTCATCTCTTAAGACAAAGCCGCACTAGGCCCTCCCCCACGCGGTAACATGCAACTCAGAAACCAGAGATACACATGCGTCAGACTTGTCTGACTAACTGGAAACGAACAGTACAAGTTTCCTACAACACGTGGCCTTAAGTCACGTCAATAAACAGCATAAATCAGGCTTGGGATATAAACCGGGTGCTCTTTCAGTAGCTACACACAGGTATGCACAGACGGGCAAAGCAACATTCTTTCACAACACGAATGCAGAAATCATGAAGACTATAAGAAACAAACTGAAGGCTAAATCAATTAATACAAACAACTAAATACAAGTCTTAAACATCAGAATTGCAAACAAAGAACAAGACTTTCACTTTACAAAGACTCTACCATTTGCACGTGGCACAGCTTTCTGGTCTCATCCTTATTTGATATAAACATGGCACATAAGCCACACAAAATTTACTTTTTGGGAAGAGTTGATTGGTTTCCACGTCTGCTCTGAAGAAAAGGACGCCATAGTTTAAGGCAGCAGGAGAAAAGGTTATGCTGTAGCTATACTGTGGATGGAGAGAACTTAAGACTGCAAGGTCACTCGCACTATTCACATCAAGAAGAAAATTAAGAGGTTTGAACTTACATCCCCATCAAATGATAACGCCATGGAATGATGAGAGCCACAAGCTACTTCCACCACTTTCTTTATTAACAAATTTGTGCAGACTTGAACAGGAGTAATGCCCTGATTGGTTGTGCCATTCCCAAGCTGGCTGTAACCATTATGTCCCCAGGCATAAACTTCACCATCTGTAAAAATATTTAAGTTTGAGACAAAAACCACCACAAATTCCACAGAAACTAAGATAGACTATTTAAGAAATTAAAGAATGAAAACATGCAAGTCAAAGGACGTAACAAACAGTGAGACTATTGCAAGTATTATCTGTATACTGAAAGATTAAATACTTCATGTCATTTTATATTTATACACCCACCCATACATATACCTACGTACACACACATTTATATATATGAATCTCACACTACTTTGGAATTAAGTGAAAGTGCACTGGTAAAAGTGAATGTGTCATAACTGATAGAGTAAAACTCCACAGCTGCGGCATAAAGGAAACGTGAAACAGGTTTCCCTTGCATATTAGGGAATACATTTAGTTTCACTTAACACCAATGAGAATTCCTTAATGTGTATTAAGGAATCCACACAGCTGTGCCAAATATCCATTCTTGTTAAGCTTAAGTGGAACTTAATCTGTAGCTTAGGATGCCATAATAAATGATTATTTTCTACCTTCAGTGGAAAGTACAACATGCGGTCCACTTCCATAACTGAGACTGGAAATCTTCTTTCCACACAAGGCTTCTAATTTCTTTGGTACTATTGTGCTCTGATTATCTCCAGTTCCCAAACAATTACTGCAATTCAGTCCAAAAACAAACACCTGAAAGACAGAAATACTCATTTCAGGCTGTTTAGACTCAGGTATGCAAAGACGTGATAGGCAAGCCTTTATAAAGCTAGGACTTTTGTCATTGACTCTGGAAGGCTAAAGACTTCACTCATAGTGGTCAATAGCCTCAAGAGTCAGAATCAGGACACTTGTTTGGAAGTTAACTGCTGAGTCCAGATTCCTCAGATTCATGCAGGTCTGGAAGCTAGGCTTCTCATTTGCTGGGACAGCACCATAAGTATTATCCTATAAGTTGTCTATGTGAGGGACACCACCCTTATGTCATCTTCTAATTGAAGCTTGTAAAGAACAGCCACAACTGTGCTGCGAGGGGCCCAATCCTACAAGCCTCTTTGGGAGTATTGAAGGAAAAACCCTTCTCTATCCAGTCTTATAGTAAACCCTCCCATTAATATATCCCAGAAAGTGTGCCTTGTTTTTTCTCAGTAGCACAATGTTAACTCACATTGAGTTTCTGAATCATTATAATCCATAGATCCTCTTCTGCAGTATTCTTACTTAGCCAGCTATATCCTCATTTTACATCTGCGTACCTGGAATGCTTTCACTTAATTTCAAGCCACCACAACGTCTTTTTGAATTCTGACTGTCTTCAAAAGTGCATGTAATCCACCCCGGCCTTTGTCATTTGTAAGTTTTCTAAATACTCCATCTACATTGTCCCCATACAAGATTTAAAAAAAAAAAATTCACAAGTTACATCCAACACTTCCATGTATGTTTTGAAATGCACAGATTCACATATTGCTTTTGAGAAGCTATTCACTTAGAAATACTCTGTGGATTCTGAAAATAACTAATTGTAGAGTTATCTGTTCCATTTTATTATGGCCTTACCTCATCATTGTGTGTTATATATATAGCTTCATTGGCTGAGGTACCAAATACACACGCTTTTCGAATAGACGCTATTTCTTGAGGTGACAGTAAAGTAAATATTGGCCACTTTCCTACATCCACCATGATGCTACTGTATCTCATGAAGTTTCTACAAGAAAGATGGCATTGCTGTAACAAAAAACAAAAGCTTATTAAAAAACGTATTTTGTACTTTCAGCAACATGCAGTAAAATAGTTTCCATTAAAGATAAGTGTTAATCAGTCTCTGAATACATAACTTTCTATTCTGTACGAAATATGTAATTATATTCCCATTAAGATGAACAAATAGCAAGCCATTGGTAGTCAAATTAGAAGGACAGTACTTGAACATCCAGTTAAGAAAGGTAAGTTTTTTCAGCAAATATAGAAAATATTTGCGGTTCTACATGAAAACTTGTTAAAGGCTTGTGATCTAGCAAGTATCATCTATTGGTGGAAGGGTGGATTTCTGAATTACAGTTGGAACTCCTGTTTACAAAGTTCTTGCTTGTGACATTGAAGTAGTCTTACAACTTGCACATGCCACCTAATAAAGCAGTTGAAGTATCTACAAATCCTGCAAAGAAAAAAAAAAAGCTGGGATTGTTGAGTGTATGAATGAATTTTGTCATCTGTTGTGTAATTAAGAGCTCTTATTATGGTCTAAACCTATTTCTGAGAGCATGAAAGCAAGAAAAACTTATGAGTTTGTACAATTAAGCAGTGAAACACCTCAGATAAAAGTGATCAAATAAAACAGTCATAATTAGTTACTGAGAAACAAGATGGACCACATTAAAAGCTGGGAACAAATGACTGGATCCATTTCACCTGGCAGTGAACACCGATGCGTACAATCCACGCTTCCACAATCCTCCTTCTTAACCAGTTTCCTCAGGACAACTGCCTCAGCTCAGGAATGAAACTGACAGTCAACACAAAGCTGCACAGGTTATTTAGGCCTTCAACCCTGCACAAAAGAGCTATAACAACTCTCTTACACTCCTACTCTGAAGGGATTCTGCCACTGACATTCTATAATCCATGCTGACGCAGTATCAGCAAATTTCATGAAAAGTGAAAAGCTGTTGGTGGAATATTCCACAAAGTGTCAGTGCTATGATACAAATTACAATAACCTGTTAAAAAATGAAGGTGAAGAAAACATTCAATGGGTAAGAAAAAAGTCTCTATTCAGATGCTGTCTTCTCGTCCACACGCAGTTCTCTTTCCTTTTTCTGCTCAAATCCTATTCCATCCCTGTATTCTTGGCTTTGCATCATTCAAGATAGGCTTCTTGTTCAGGATGCACGGATAGCAGGTATGAGCAACAAGGACACTAGAGACCCTCTTTCCTTTTGCTTCCAGGTCGTGGTTGTCAGAACAATTCTAACAACCAGGACAAAGTTTCAGAGTGTTTATTCAACACTAGCAATCAATTCTAAAATGTAGGTTACTAAATGAAACTTTTTTTTTTTTTTAAAGAATTTGAGATCATAGTGGAAATGCTGTGTATTTAAAACAAACAAGTTACAGACTATGATTTGAAAAAGTCATGCTTCTCTACGATTTGAGAAATTTTTCAGGCAGCTGAAGTATCTCCTTGTCAAATTTCATAAACCAGCTCCAGCAACCGAGGTTTGCTCAAACTCCTCTCCTACTAGGAAAGTAATTTCACTCTACCTTTCAGATTTGAAGCAAGTCTTGAGAACATTTGAAGTCTCCAAATGGCACATTCATAATAAATGGGTTTATAGAACTGCTTTTGAAAGTGCACCTAATGCCAGGAACACCTATGCATTACACTCTACACAGCTAAACAGATCTGAATGCATTTAAGCCTTCTTAATTTCTAGTCCAGCTATAAACTCAAACTGGTTAGCTGCTGAGATTTAAATCCCAAGAGTTATCTCACTTTGGCAAATCTTTTAACATATAACACTATTGATCAGTTGAAATGAGACAGTGATGACTTGTCCTCATGAGCAGACCAGCTAATTGTCCCTTCTGGCTTTACCTATTTAATTTGCCCTATATAATATACACTTGACAACGCACAAACAGAACATAAACTGGACATTAAAATATTTTATTCACCAAATTTCTTTCCATTGCATACTGTCAATTTAAGATATGAAGGTAAAACGCCATTTAAATGAAATGTCCTAGTAAGTTACTATTAACAAGTCTTACATCACAAGAACTTTCCGGACCCTCAAGGTAACCAGTTTAAAATGTGCTACATGCCTTATACCTCCTTTTCTGATCTAATCTGCTTGACTTCTTTCCCACTACCGTATGAACCAGTTAACCATCCCTCTTGAAACAGATCTTCCCAGCTGCTTCTAAAGCCTATGTGAGTTAAACTGCATTTCCCTGCATCTCAAGGCTCAAACGGATATCTTGTTAGACTCAGCAATACCATTAGATAAAAGAAAATTTTCAAGGACACAAAAGTTTCCAGATTCAAGACATAAGCAAAAAATAGTTGAAGAACCTTAACAGGTGTAACTCTCCTTTACCTAAAACAATGCCATATATTCCCTATTTCAACTGTTACTACAATCCTACAATGTTATTTGAAGTGATTTTTTCAACAGGCTTTTAACGATAACTCATTGGCCATTGGCAGGTTTGTTTCATTAATAAATCTCAGTCCTGATGTCTCTCCAGGTTTAATAACCAATAAAGGATCAAAAAAAATTCTTAAAAAATGCTTTTGTCTTCTGCATAGTATGTACTGTTCTCTTCACCTTTTTTTTTTCCTCTTCTACAAGTATTAGGCACTGCCCTTAGATGCTGTCATTTGCTGGAGTACCTATCATCATTAAGTTACCCCCTTTTTTTTTTTTTTTTAAACACTAGTAACAGCAGCTCTTTTTGTTTATGCTTATGTCTAAATGAGTGAGATAACATGCACCCCTGAAAGTTCAGGGTTTTATACATGGACTACCGTTTCTCTGCCTTCTATACATCTAGAAAGCAGTTTTAGCTACTTATCATCCATTTCCTACAGAAAGCATGTGCCCAACCTGGTATAAGCATCACCCTTCTCCTCTCGAAGGACAGATTCCTTAACAACCCTAGCCATGTTCCTGGTTTTCCAGTAGGAATTCTTGGTAGCCACAGGGGAAAAAAAAAGTAACAGGAAAAATCTATTTTGGGAATATATATGTATATAAATAGTACTATAAATGGAAAAGATGTCATTAAAGCAACTCAGTAGTATTGATGGAAAAACCCAGTTACTTTCAGCATCCTTTAAGACATAGTGTACCCTTTCCAGAAGGATAGGCACTGGAATATACTAGCTTCACACAGTCATACCCAAACTTCATCTTTGCGCAAAGTTTTTCTGAACACAAGCACGAAACTGCTTGTGCACAGTTTCTTCCGGGCTATTGCTTGCTGTGAAAAGTTGATCTATGAGACTTTAACCATGTTATTGCAAATAGTGGCACAAGGGAACCAGTGCCCTTGACTCACCCTTCCTGAACCACATCAATAAGAGAGTTAAGTCTCGTTATTATTTACTTCTTCTGATAGTTGCTTAGAGGCCTGGACGCTCCTACATTACATACCGTGTAAAGGCTACACGTGCACTGGAAAGCCTTCAAGTGCAATGCAGTAGCAAATGCAGTAGCTGGAGACCAAAGGAACAGATGTTATTTCGATCTGTATGCAGGTAGCTGTCTCAAAATATTAGGTCACAAGCTATTGTTTGGATTTTGTACACAACATGGCAGCAATGGTTTTAAGGCATATCCGTCATTTACATATCAACACCTAGATTTTTAAGTCAACATTCCTGAAAAAATAGCAATTGAAAGCCTTGTTAATATAGAAGTCATACGCTTAAACTTGGTGCTCTTGTAGGTGGTTGCTTTTAGAAACACTGTATGTCACTGCTGTTAACTATCTTTTCATTTCTACTGCATGATTCAGTGACAACCAACTATATACTGCCTAGCTCCGCTCGTATTCCACTATTGAAGAACTAACCAGCAGAGGGAGCACACATCAACAATACCTATTCTGATTGCTTTGACATCTTCGAAATTATCCAGCATCAGCACACAAACAGGAACAGAAACAAAGATGATTGTTTGAATTGCAGTGATGCTAAAAATAAGCAAGAAAGGATGACTGGTAGAGAAGGAAACTGAACTGAACACACGTTGTGCTAAAAAGAAATTGAACTCAGAGCCTTCATCAGGACTGGGGGGGAAGGGAAATCTGGACCTGCTCATGTTTTAAAAAAAAAAAAAGAAATACACAAGAACAACAAACTTTAAGAGACAGAAGCCCTTTAAAAATTCTATGCTAAACTACTACCTATGCATTCAACATTTCATTAGCTTGCTTTCCAAAGAAATAACGTGCAAGCCGATTATTAGCAATACACAGCATACATGGATTCGTGCAGAAAACAAAGAGCTTACAAAATGTTCTTAAAATGATTTCAGATAAAGTTTTTACAGCATTTATAGTTCAGCTAAACAAACTCATGCTGGAGAGAACAATGACTTCACACAACATCCTACCAGGAAAACACTACCAATTGTCTTTGCAACAAAAAAAACTGTAGTTAATTCCTCAGAGATTTTTCCCTTATTTGTAAAGATTATTTGAACACAGTTGTGCTCTTTCCTCAGGCTTCAATTTTGCAGCTTATTCTGTTTGGGTAGATTTATGCCTGCACAGAAAGAAATTGAAGGCTCAGGCCTTCATTTCCCCTACTTGTGTAGGGGAATCATAGACAGCGTTGAGAACAATAGAAGCTGGACGATCTGGTTGTAGAACCACAAGACATGCTTGGCAAAAACTGATCAGTTTTTTCGATTTTAGTTACCTCAACAATGAGAGTCAAACCCGAGACACAGCACTAATCTCACCTGTGTTTTCTCCAGCTTGTCTTTGCATTTTTATCTCATATTCCAGTACTGAGGGGAAAAAAAAAAGTGAAAAAGGTGAAACAACACATACTATTGACATTAATCAGCTGTGTAGACTAAGTGATTTTATTGTGAATTGCTCTCTGCCAACAAAAAGATATTACACTCCCTGAAAGTAAATGCTACAACTCACTTTCCTAAAACCTTACCATAAAGTAAGATTTCTATGACAAAAATCTGTACTTCTGCATGGTGATGGTTTATTTTTGGATGCCTTTTATGAGCAACCCAGGGAAAGAAAAACATGCTGCAAGAACTGACAGCCGACTCATATTTGCTTTCAATAACTGGCTAAAAGGGACAAAAGCAAGTAAATAACACCATGTTCACAAATACTGTTAAACATAAGACTGCTTTCACCATACAAAAAAAAAACACCCTAAGAGGATGACAAAGTAACCTGCCCATTATAACTGAAATGTAATTATGGGCACAATATGCTTATTTTTTTTAAATTAGTTGAACCATTACTGTAACTTACTGCAGTGTACCACTCACTTCGGACAAGACACATTCTAAACAGCACCAATTTGTCTATGCTCTATGCATACAGAGATAAGCCTTCAGGAAAACACTTATACTAAAACTTCAAAGATTTATTGGTTTTCCTAAGTACTGCTTTTTCTAACCACCTTCAGGCTTCAAACACATTCACATTTAGGATGGCTAGTGTCTCTCTCTCATAATCTCACTCCCAGTTTAAGTTCCTGCAATAGGGCATAAACATTGCCTGCGTACCATGGATCAAAAAAGGATATTTCTAGTTCCCTTCTTCTTTCCTATAGACTGAGTAGACGACAAAAGCCATCTCTACTCATTTTCAGAACGCCCCCAATATCTCTTAGATTTTCCTTTTCATCTCTCATCAGCAGACCACAATGCACCTTCCAGAATGGTCATTAAAACCTGTCTAAAGTAGAGTTTTAAAAATTCCTTTTAAAAATATATATTTAAAAAATCTTGAATGTTTACTTTAAAAGACTTGTCATGACTCATTCAAGGAACAGCACATTAAAAATTAAAGGGTCACTAATTATTCATATAAAAGTCCAGTGAGAAAATCGTTAAGAGCCCCTACTTTTTCAGTAAGCTGGACGTCAGCTTTCAGGAAGCAGACAACAAAGGGAAGAACGAACTGAAAACCACGAACCAGAAAAAACTGTAAGAAGATATTGTAAGTCATCGCAAAT